CGGTGGTCCCAACAGTGTTACCCCCAGGGGCCCCACTCACATATTTTAATGACGGGGGGGTCCGACAGAGGTTCATATTTTATACCCAAAAAAATCCAAACTTCAGAATTTGTCTACCCAAAAAAATCCCTTAGTGTTTTTGCATCAGCAAATTTTATTATTTAACTCCTGGAAAGCTGAAACATGCCAACTTCAACTTTGGTTTTGGTCAAAAACAAAACTGTAAATTGCGCTTATGTTATTTTTGATTTGAGCTGATGAAAACTACAATACCCAAAAAAATCCTTCTGTTGTTTTCGCGACCCAAAAAAATCCCGGCGTCTTTCATAGACCGAAAAAAATCCCTTTTGGCCGAAATGTCAGACCCAAAAAAATCCTTCGGACCCCCCCCCCGTCATTAAAATATGTGAGTGGGGCCCCTGGGGTGCATGTTACCTCTTGCGTCTTTGGCTGTGCGTTTTGCGACTACTGGAAAGCCTTCGCACAAGCGAAACCTGTTTAAGACATCGAAGACTGTTGACATGTACAACAAATGTCCAATCTTGAAAGATCTTCTCTTCAATTAAAACTCTGTTGCTTTCGCATAGATCCCTGAGATCTTTAAAACTCCCTCCGCAGCTTATGTTTTGATTCTCGAATTAGCAGCGGCCTGTTGCTTTTGCGTTTCCTGTCTCATTCACTTCCGTCATCGAGTGATGCGGTTCACAGCGAAGGAAGTCACGTGGTACAAGTTTCCTCCCTTGTCCTTTTTTCACTCGGCACTTCGAGTCAGTAGCTGCCGTTGACCGTTTAAAACCATCATTTACCCTCAAATGATGACCTGTACAGCCCGCGAAATGATCCCCAACCCTGAAATGATCCCCTAATCGACCCCGAAATGATCCCCATTTCTCTTCACGTCGACCCCGGTGATCTCCATTTAATTTTAGGAATGGAATGATATCCTAGAACTATGGATCGTGCAAAATGCACAGCATTATAACTTAAGCTTCACTAATAATCTTCACTTGCCCACATGACATTACTTTGGGATTACACTTTGAACTGGATAAACGCCGGAAAATATTGTTATCAAAAAATACACAAAGTCTAGTATACTTTTAGGAACACCATGAACTGCAACTGATAATATCAAGAAACATAACATTTTTTTAAAATTATTACTTAGGTGATTATAGCCCGGGTTACAGTGTATAGAGAAAACTGCATAGATGTTAAATTCTAAAAATGATGTTAAAACTGCATGCCTTGGATATTGAATTTTAAAAATGGTGTTTTAACACTTTTTAAAATCTTAAAATGATGTTGAAGATGCAAAAGTATACATAAAGGCGATTAGATGACAAAAGCGCTAAAAAATCGCATAAACTCTAGCGAAATGTTTAATTAAGGTTAAAAAAAAAACACTGCAAATACCGTGTACGATCAATCTTGCTCAACGTCGGATCCAAAAAGATCGTGATCAGTCAAAATAGATCAAATTGAGAAAACGTTACAGTCAAGAAGACTTTTGCAGGGACTGATCAAACAACGTGAAATAGAGTTAAGTTGCGATATTTCGACTGGCCAATACCAGTGTTCATCAGGTTTATTGAGATATCACGAATTTACAGAAATATATATGAAGTAAAATAATGACCGGAAATTACATAATATGACGTGGTTAGTTATCTAGTGTTTTTTGGGATGAGAGACGATTGGGGATTAAGTTGAGGCGCGCGCGGGATCTCATGGGAAGGGAAGAAGGAAAAATACTGTTCTTGACTATAACGTTTTCAATTTGAAGCGAAATGTTAAACGCGATTTAAGAACGTAAACGCTGCAACAGATTTGTAATAATTCCGTGACGGAATACAAGTTCCATTCCAAGAATTAATTGAGGATCATTTCGGGGTCGACGTGAAGAGAAATGGGGATCATTTCGGGGTCAATTTGGGGATCATTTCAGGGTTGGGGATAATTTCGGAGTCGGGATCATTTCGGGGGCTGTACAGACCTCCTTTTCACTCGGCCTCGGGTTATATTTCAACATGCCGAAGTATTCTGTCAGCGCTCGTTTATTTTGTCTGGCCCAATAAATTTAAAATGGCAATTAAAAAAACTTAGCCGGCACACAGTGGAGCAATATCACGGCATTATAGTATTAAACTACCGCACTATCAAGTTTAATCATGGCGAGCCGCAAGCCTTAGCGACCGAAATATGAGGGTAAAATTCGTCCCCCATCTGATCAGAAGGCTATTGCTTAAATTCAGCCAACCTGACACTAAAGCTGATGAGACGAACAAAACTAAAAAAAAAGAACTTGACAGGACAAAAATCGCTCCGAGACAGTGCATCAGTTGGAAAACTTGTGGCGGTGTAGAGTTTTGCACAAATTATCAAACAGGGGATACCTCAGAATCAATATGTATATATGGCTCATTTATTTACCTCAAATGAACGAAGTGCAGCGGTTTAAATTTAACAGATTTTAAATTAACTATAAATTTAAATAATTTTTATAGGACTGTCGCTTTTTCTTGGGAGTAGAATTTAAAGCGGGACTATTCCCTTTTTCTGGAAAAGACCGGTGAAGTCTCCTATTTCATCCCGTTCGTGGCTAAAAAAAAAGCTCCTTTATACAAACTTGTAAGGTCACCTATATGATGTTCCTTAATTATGATTGAAACCATTTATTTCGTTGAAAACGGATTTGCGAGCCACAACCAATAAATACCAAGTTCCCTTGCACTTAGCGAAGGCGACACACCCGATCGCTTGCTTTTCCAGGCGACTCACCCAGAAGAGCACGTGCAGACGGAACTTTGGTCGTTGTTTTGAAAGAATAAGTTCAATTGCCAATTTTATAGCGTCTAGTTGAAATACAATCTTAGCAAGCCCCAAACAGAAGAAAACTATATTTAACAAAACGTTTCCCAAAACTATTTTCCTTATAAGCTTTCCTAAGCCTCGTTTTTTACGGTAAGATTCATTTTTAAATATACACGTTTTACAAAGTCTTCTTGCACTAGGCAAAGGCGACTCACCCGATCGCTCGCTTTTAATCAGGCGACACACCCAACATAAAAGCACGTACAGAATACCCTGAACCATGTACATTTCATGAATTTGTTTTTCGGTGAAATAAAGCTCTCTGTTCGTGAAAAATAATAGAGACCGTTCGTGCATTGGTGTTTTATTAAAAAAACAAATAGGGGGGAACCGCGATGGACGCAACCAATTAACTAAAATTCATTTCGATTCCCCCATAAAAATTGTATAAAAGAAAAAGAAAGCTGCTTAGATTTAGAGACTTATAGTCCATGGGCCAATCGTGATTTTGGTACCAACTCGAAGGACAAAGGATGATTGCTACGAATTGATAGCACATAAGGTGGAGATTGAAAATTTGTATGATAACCTTTCTGTATGAGTAGCTTTCAGGGTATTTTTTTCGTGTAAAATTGCCGGAAATGATCTTTGAGATACCAACCAGGCCAAATAAATGTGCACTTAATATGTTCTATATGTTTTGTAGTTTAATTTATTATGAGAGACATGAGAAGTTTTTTTGTCGCGCTTTTTATCGCCAAAATATTAATTGTTCTGAATTTAACCAAAGTAGAGCGAGCAAAACTCAAAAGTAGCCTTCGAATAGCATTATGGGTAAAATCCAAAATGGCGGCTACCATGGAAGGTGATTGGGTTCTTAATTTGCCGGATTAATAGCCATTTTACAGTGTAAAACGCAATAATTTCACGAAAAGTCAGCAAAATCATCTAGTCAATAAAGCGCTTAAACTTTTTGAGGCAAAAGTCTTTGAAGTTTTGACTTAATAAGCAGATTTAAGGAAATACTTACAGATCTTGTAGAATGTTCACTTCGATAATCCGATAGAAATTGAATGTATAGTTTGCTCATGTGTGACATGTGGATCATACACATCTTTTTATATATTTATAAATTTTGAAATATAATCTAATTTTAGGAATCAACCTGTTGCAGTCAACATTATTTAAATTATCGGTTATTCGGTAATGAAAATTCCATATGATATAACATTTTTAATGCATACATGCATATGGTTTCTTTGAACACGCTAAAATCATCAGTCTAAAAAAGTTAAGTGAAGTAAAAAGGATATAAAGACTACACATACCTGAATGGCTTACATGATTACCGTGTGCCGGGGATCAGAAAACTAGAGCCGCTAACATGTTTATTTCCATTTTGAATTGACTTAGCGATGTTATTCTTCGTATGTTTTTTGTGGTAACTCATTCCAAATCGTGGCACCGCTATGGTGCAAAAAAAAACTTTTGGAAGTCCAGAGTTTCGTAAATTATAATATAACGTATGTGCTGTTATCTCCCCGTCTCAGTTGCAGTTGCATTGCAACTTAAAGGCTGAAAAAATATTCATCTGATACAAATAGGGTCCTCATGTAAGAGAAGTGTTGATGATGCTGAGGAGTCAAATGCCGAGGAGTCGTGGAAAACCTTGCTACGAGCAGCAGAGATTCGAAATCATCAAGAAATCGTAGAACTGTCGAAGTCTTTAAGCGAAGGAGAAGTCCCGCTCATTCACTACCATCGAAAGTGTCCAAGCATTTTTACAATGAAAAAGTTATTAGATAAATTATCCCAGCAATCATCCAATAGCCAGACTCAACAGGAAAAAGTGGCTAGGAGAGTCTCTATTCAAGGATCTTACATACGAGCGCATTTGTATTTTTTGTGAAAAGCCAAAATATTTCAAGGGTACAAGGAATCGTGAGCCTTTAGTACAATGCCGAGATATGCGTGCAGATAGCTCTATCAGAAAGATAGCTACACAAAAGAATGTCAGCAAGATTCTTGCCCTTGTGTCGCGCGAATTAGTTGCAGCAGAGGCTTGTTATCACAGGACATGCTACAAAAGTTACACTAGACCAGAGGCAAGCAGCAGTGTGAACCCTGATATGAGTAGTGAATCTCCGGATGATGAATATGCTCGTCTAGAGTCTGATGCTTACCAGATGCTTTTTGACTTCATCAGGTCAGATGTGATAGAAAACGAGAAAGTCGTAAGGCTGTCTGAGATGACGCAGTTACTTGTACAGTATCTAATGTCATTAGAAGCTAAGGAATGTAAGCCATCAACAAAGAAGCATATCAAAAGGAACATTGAAGCAGAATTCAATGAGTTGATCAAGTTTGAAAACTTGCTAGACAACAACCGTGTATTCCTAATCCCTGCTACCATAACACCAGTGCAAATCGCCAGAAATGTACTAAATATCCTTATGGCAGAAAAAGAAGACAAAGGCTCAACAACAAAGATCTCAAATATTCAGAAAGCTGCAGCTGACATCCACGATGCAATTCGAAACGAAGAAAGCAAAATGTCATGGCCACCGCGCCCTTCAGAGCTCAATGACAGCGCCATGGAGGTCCCTGAAGAGCTAAGTGCGTTTTTGTTTACCTTGCTAACTGGCAACAAAGATTCGTCGGAGGGAGAATGTTGTCAGAGAGTCCAGCGGTTGATGAAGTCGTTCGCGCAAGACCTAGTATTTGGAGTAACCAGAGGGAGGATTAAGCCGCCTAAACAAGTTCTTCTCTCGTATGCTGTAAAAACTCTCACAAACAATGTTGAGCTAGTGTCTATACTAAACCGTTATGGTCATGGTATTTCTTATTCCCAGCTTGAAGAAATTAACACTGCTCTTTGTATGCAGAAAATGGCAACAACAACAAGTGAAATTCCTCTACCTGTCAATATACAACCTCATGTTAGTACCACATTAGCATGGGATAATATTGACAGACTAGAAGAGACTCTTTCAGGTGAAGGCACTTCACACCGTGTAAATGGCATAGCAGTGCAGGCGAGACATTTTGGCCCCCATCCCCTTACTGAGCAGCCACCTGGGATCACTAAAAGTAAGCAAAGGAGTGTTGAACCACTTGATGTTGTTGCTCTACCCATTTAAAATGCAAGTGAACGTCAAGGCCCTAAGCCAAGAGCATATGTTGAAGTAAACGACCAGGAAGCGCTAGAAAATGCCCGAAGAAAAAAACCTTTTGTGGGTTTTAGTGGGCCTACATGCACAGATGAACCAGAAAATTAGTGGATGGACTGGCTTTAACATTTTGGTGCGCAACGAAATTGAGGCTCGTGAAGACAATATCGGATACGTCCCCTCCATTCATGCACCTGCCACTAGCATGTCAACTGTTCATGAGATTTTGGTCCGCTCCCAGAAGATAAGAGAGGCTATTGAACTGAAGAACATAGTACTCGTATTTGATCAAGCTCTGTATGCCAAGGCAACAGAGATAGCTTGGAAACATCCACACAAGTTTTCAGATATTGTTATTCGGTTGGGTGTCTTCCATACAGTGTGCACACTTCTTTCCATAATCGGGAAGAGATTCCAAGACGCTGGTTTAAGGGACGTTTGCATTGAATCAGGTGTAATCGCTGAAGGTTCTGTGACAGGACTTCTTGAAGGACGTAGATACAACCGTGCTGTCAGGTTTCATAAACTGATATATGAAGCACTCCAAAGACTTATCTGGAAAGGATTTCAGACGTGGGTAGAAGTAAAGTTCCCCGAGAAGAAACAGTTTATCCAAGATTTCTTTGCCGGATTGAAACCTTTATACGACAACCTGTGCCAAAAGGAACAACAGAGGGTCTTGTATAGCCAAAGTTTCCCAGAGTTTATCACACTGTACGATATGTACCTTGACTATCTACGCAATAACAACGGGAAACCATCTAGTTTCTGCATGTCATACATTGATCTCGTTGACATTCTGCTGAATATGGTGAGAGCATCAAGAGAAGGACATTGGGAGCTACATTTATCAGCCATTGAACAAATGATACCATGGTGCTTTGCCTATGATAACGTAAATTATGCCCGCTATTTAGCTGCATACCTGTCTGAGATGACCCACCTCGAAGAGTCCCATCCTGAGGCTCATTAATTTCTTACGTCTGGTGGATTCTCGGTCCAGATCGACGACGAAAACCCCTTTGGTAGGGTTCCAGTTGATCAAACATGCGAGGAGACAGTCAATAAGGACACCCAGACAGCCGGGGGCAGCAAAGGCTTCAGTCTTAAAGTAGGAGCAGTTAGCAAGTATTATATAGTGTCTGAATTTCGCAGTATTTTTGTGAAGCAGCTTAGGGACATGCTAAATCTAAGCAAATCCAATTCTGGGCATACTGATGTTCAAAAAACAAGAATTGTAAGAGACGAGGCCGACGTGAAGTCGCTGATTGCTACGCTAGAAAGCAACTGGATAAACCCATTCAGTGCTGAACAGCAGGAACTGGTATGCTTGTCAACTGGAAAGGTTGCCAGCCAAAAGATAGAGGAAGACTTGTTGGGCGCAAAAGCTGTTGGGGAAAAGGCATACAAAGAATTTCGTGCACAGCACTTGGAGGCAAATCCACCAGTCAAATTTCATGAGACCCTGAAGAAATCAAAGCTGAAGACATTCTCTGATCTTAACAAGAAGGTGAAA